AAAATTTGTTAGATAGATAAAGTCCTTAAAAAATCGTTTTTTTTTAAATCGATATCTCGATGCATTCCCGAAATACAGAATTACAAAATTCAGATCTAATAAATCAATGATTTAATCTATCTATATTGTTTTAAGAAATCCATATTCAAAAATATAATGTATCTAATAATTTAAAAATTTTTCTTCGTATTAAGTAGACAAAATGATGTCTTTAAAAATTTTTGTTTTATTTTAAATTGATATCTCCATGCGTTTCCAAGATACAGAATTGCAAAATTCAGATCTAATAAATCAATGACTTAATCTATCTATATAGTTTTAAGAAATGCATATTCAAAAATATAATGCATCTAATAATTTTAAAAAATTTTTTTTCGAACCGTGTTAGGTAGACGAAATGATGTCTTTAAAAATTTTTGTTTTATTTTAAATTGATATCTCCATGCGTTTCCAAGATACAGAATTGCAAAGTTCAGATCTAATAAATCAATGACTTAATCTATCTATATATATATCTATATAGTTTTAAGAAATGCATATTCAAAAATATAATGCATCTAATAATTTAAAAATTTTTCTTCGAACTGTGTTAAATAGACGAAACAATGCCCTTAAAAATGCTTTTTGTTTTAAATCGATATCTCGACGCGTTCCCGAGATACAGGCTTCCAAAAGTATAAGGCATAAGTGATAGTGGTCAGTGACTACTTGGCCTACTCTCGGAAGTGAGTAGTCGCTAATAGAAGTCGTTTACTCAGCGGGGTATCGTTGAGTAGCGCCCACGATCGATGCGAGCGAGAAACGGAAAAAAATTATGATTCGGTTCCAACGATGATATCTCTGGAACCGGAACTCGTATCGGGATGAATCAAACGACAATTCAAACAGGAAGCATCCATGCTTCTAACTGCGTCTATTGGAATATTCTGCAACGATTTGTCGTTGAGTTATTTAACATTGAATATTCTGGTTTTTTTAATCAACCTTAAGAAAAATTTTATCAATATTGTTAGTAAGAAATTTAAAAGCTGATACAATATAATTCGTTCCATATAATTTCTAAAGGATTAATTAATTATTAATAATTATCGCGCATGATTTTACGTTATTTGCGTGATAGCTATAACGAAAGCGTGTCTTACAATCTAAATATTTTCTTCGAGTACGAATAACGTTGTATAATAAAAGCCTGATGACTGGAACCGAATAAATGTTAAACACGCGATTCCACTTTGGAGAATATGTTCGAATCAGTGTGCAATTAGCCTAAAAACGAGCCATCGAGAATATTAACGATAATGAGCATTTGGCGGCGGAAAGTGGCAATTTTTATTGTTATTAGCGATACTTTACGCGCATCCGCCTACTGTTGTTTCCGTTCATTTTCTGGTTAATTTCGCGGAATCCATTGGCCAGAGTGAGAGAGAACGCTCTCAGTGTGGTTCGTTTGCGGGGAAATAAGAGTCGAGCTTAAATAATTAGCGCTCAAATGGTTCCACAGAGATCCTATTGATTTTATGTGTTTAATGCTTTTTCGAGAAGCTTTCAGCTTTCGCTTTTGTTTTTATTTATTTATTTATCCTTTGATTTTGTAAATTTATGATGGAAGAAAAATTAATCCTTTGAGTCTCGAAAGTATTTTTTTATTGAATTGAGCTACTGCGTTTGAAAGCTGTTTAAATACTTTAAAAAAAAAAAAAAAAAAATGCGATACGCTTTTGAAAAATAAATAAATTCTCATTAATTAATGAAATTTCGTAAATTGATATAATATAAAATTTCACATTCGAATATAATATATATCACATTTGAAATTGGATAAAATACTTTTTTTTTTTTTTATCATCGGATTAATGGTAATCTGAGTGTATTTTTATAATTGATCCTCTAATTATTTTTATCGAATATCGAACGAATAGATAACAACTTTATTGCACCAACTATTTTAATACGCGGGATATACGGAAGTAATATTTTTTTCCTCGTTTTCTTTTTCAGTACGCTAATTGGTCATGATTTATCCGATATGAGGGGAAATGAGTGGCTCGTTAAAAAAATTTTCACTGAAACGTATCGTTACGTTTACATCGTTAAAACTTAAATTTCATAAAAACCAGTATCTAATGGTAACATCGAATGTATGAATTAGAATTTCATATGAAATGAGAAAAGAAAAAAAAACCTTTATCCGCGAAATTTGATGTATGATTTTCTTCCCCCCCCCCCCTCTCTCCCTCCTTTTTTTTATCTGCATATACCTTAAAACTATAATATATTTCAACATTTCAAGCCTTTAATTAATTCAATTATTAATTTTAATCTTTAACGTCATGATTGGTTTCACTTATTTAAACTCAAATATTTTTTTTAAATAATTTTTATAAAATCTAATAAATAATAATAAATTTATTTTATAGAAAAATTTCCATCCACGATTTTTAAGAATTCGAACGAAATGAAGAATAATAAAAATTCTTCCAAAATCTTCTATGAAACTATCGTATTATAATCATTTCTATGGTCACAAATATTTGTGATCTATGTACATGATCGATGGACGAAATTTGCACAACAATTTATCTATTTAAAAAAAAAAAAAAAATGAATGAAAGAACTAACCTTATTTACCCATACTTATTTATCCAAACCCCCATTTTCTTCACAAAAGCGAGTGAAAAAAAAAAAAAGAATGGAGAGAGAAAATCAACAAAGCAATATAGTGTATAGTGGTCACTAACTATTATTATTTCCTTGTCGAAACGTTGATAATTCCGTCGGTAAATAACTGAAATCTCATAAAAATGCATGGCGGCGGGGCGACGCGAGAAATATCTGCAAATGTGAATGGAATCGTGACGTGAGGAGGGGAGGGGGGGGGGGGATAGCTAATGCAGGCAGTGTCACGCGTTTTAACTCTCTCATCGAATATTCAATATCGATGCCGTTGTGACGGCTCGAATGAAGAATTTATATTTTTTCCCCGGCGTTACGATAAATCCGACGCGTATGAAAAATAAAGAGGATGATGGATGAAAATGGGGGAGAGGGGGAGGGGGAAGGAGAAAGGGACAGGCAAGCATTCAGGCAGAAGTATTTACATTGATCTATGATACTCTTTTAAATCAACTATAACGTTTTTCACTTCATTTTTTTTTATAGCGTTAATTATAGTCACTTTCATCTTTCATTTTTTTTTTTTTTTTTATGGTCGATATTTTCGAAACTAGAGAATATAATCACGTCACAATCGATTATATTACCCTCTTTAACATTTACGTTCCCTCTTTAACGTTTTTTTTTTCTTCTTCTTCGAGTAATGATCTCGACTAATGATCAATAATTGTATTTACATAATTGACATAATTCAATCCCAATAAAAATTTAAAACCTAATTATAACCCCAAAGTGTTTACAATTTTAATATCCGTTTAATTGAATAATATTTTAAAACGATTTCATCCCTTACCTAATCCTTATGATCAAACTGGTGGATTATGGTAATTGAAAGTGTTATGTTGTACGTTAATTAAATACAACACGAATATAGAATACAATTTTAATTTCTCAGTGGATATTATCGCGAAAGAGGCGTGAAAAAAAAAAATTTTCGTTCATCGTAAAAACCCAATAAAACGAATCTTCTCTTCTCGAAATTTATTTCTTTTCGTTGGAATCCTCCCTTCTGTTGGTAAAAATCGCTCGTTAAACATATTACATCGAATACCGCACTGCGGTTGATATGCACCACGTGCACACGTCGAAAAGAAGAAAATTCTTCCGAGAAACCGACGAGTCTACGTTTAAAGAGCTCGCTTCTTCTTTAAATGCGCCCTAAGCTCCGAGCTCGGGTAATTAGTTTTTCTCATAAACAACAAAAGGATCGGCCGTATTTTTATCCATCCGAACCGCGAAACAGCCGAGAAAAGTGGAAACGGAAAAGTGGAGCAGTGGGCAGGCGACACGAGGCGTCCAGCACCAGCTTCGTGGCTGCAATTAAAATTTTAATCTCTGTCTCAGGGATAATAACTGGAGCGCTCGATTAAACATATCCACCACCTCCCCCTTCCCTTCTCTACTCTGACGAGACGCAATCTACTCGTTGCATGCTTTGTATCGTCGTGCGTGATAAGTGGAAGGAAGAAAATATTGTTTCGTAGGAGGGATGCTCGTCGAGTTTGATTATCGATCACGAACGAAAGGGTAAAGAATTTAGAAGATTAAATGATGGAATATCGAGTGATGGAATTAAAAGATTTCTGCTCCAAGTTGAAACAAAAGAAAATACATAAAGAAGTAATTTGAATTATATAGGAAGAGTAAAAAATTTTGGAAAATTGGAAGATTGGGAATAAAATATTTATAAAAAAAAATAGAAAGATTTCTAATTCTCCTAGGAGAAGAAATTTTCGTATTTTTAAATTAAAAAATTACCTTTTTTCAATCATTAACAAATTTACTTTCCTTTTTCCAGTATTATTCGATTTCTTATCCTTACGATACAAGTATACATATAGAATACAAGGATAATCGAGTAGATCCTAAAAGGCTTATCGTAGCTGGAAGCAAGGGCACGAAGCGTGCTCGAAAATTCGTTGCTTACGTTGCATGTGCGCCACGGGTTGATAATCATCGGCCTCGAATCGCCGTCATTATCATACATATAGCCGATTGAGTGGGCCAGACGATCGAATTAATAATAGCAAAGGCCAATATTTGCCTCGGCACGCAGCCTTGGCAATCACCTGTACCAAGTACCAATTTCGAACGATCATGTGGGCTTGTTCCTTCCTTTCGAGGGTTGGTTGCTTCGCCCCTTCTGTTGTTGTAGAGATTGTGACAAGAGAAATGCAGGAAGATGGCCAATTGTGTCCATCCCGTTATTGTTGTTCCAACAATAATATGGTCGATATGCGTAGCATATCGTCGATGGCTGACCACAGTCCTCTTTCGAGCCTCCTTCTCGATTCTAATTTGATTCTTTTTTTTTGTTTCTGTTCCAGATATTCACACGTTTTGGCAAGGTCCTGAAAATCGTCACTTTCACGAAGAACAGTAAGTATCGTTTTTTATGGAATTTTAAAATTACGAAAAATTGTGTTTATTTAAAAAAATGTGAAACTCGAGATTCTCTTCTGTGGCATGTTGTGATTCATCATCGAAGCATCTCTCATATATATTTTTATAAAAATTACTTGATCTTGTAATCGATTGACTTATATAGGAGAGAAAAATAAATAAATTCGTTTGATTAGGATATAATCTTTGATAAGCTGTTTTTTTTTTTGTCAAAAATCGCGCAGAACTATTTCCACGACGAGTTGCCATTGAAAAATTTCCACGTACACCTCGAAAGAAACAGAGTAGAACCGGGAAAGACTGACGGATTTCGAACATTTCAAAGTGGCTCTTGTTTTCCTCCTCCAGTGCAATAGCTACTGGGCCACCTTGTATAGACGCCACTCTTGCTGGCAGACATGCACGGCACTTTAGTACTTCAGTGTACACTTGAAGTGTATTCTGCCTCGACGACGTCGACACCGTTAGTACCTTCGGTGGCACTCGAATATACCGGGTGTGTCAGAAATATGTACTTATTCCCTTAATTCCTTCGTACATTTACAATTCTCGACAAAGGATTGAAATTGATTGCTCTCGTTGATCCTCGAAAAGCCTCGATGCTTCTTGATATGAGATCTAGAATGCAGCCAGATCTCTGTTCTTCGATTAGACAGTTTGACGTGTTAAATTTTTCGTTTCTTAAATGTGGGTAAATATTTTTTTAGTCTCGAATCTTTTTTCTTTTTTCTTTTTTCTTTTTTCTTTCTTTGCATTTGACGAGGAATAAATTTCGAAATCGATACGCAAATTCTTTTTTTTTTAGACACCAGTTAGATAAAAGTCTGCTTCATTCCGGGTAAAAATACCAGTTAGAAATTCAAACCGATTCAGACTGGATAAAATTCTCGAATATTTTATTTTGTGTCGTGGCAACTTTTTCTTTTTACTTTCGAGATGTTCGAACGAGTCGTTGCAATAACAAAATGGACGTCGTTATATACTTTTGAAACGTCTACATGACATCGATCAATTATTTATTTTCATCTTTTCCATCTCTACTAGAATCCGATAAAATTTCCTTTCTTTGTCAATTACTTTTATAGAAAGAATTTAAAATTCTTTCCTTAAATCTTTCACAATATATCTTAGAGATCTATTGCAAAATATTTCCTCTTAAACTTTTATTATTATGCTCTCTCGTTCGTTAATTCCAGTCCAACAAATGCCGAGTAAAATCTCGATATCGAAATAACAATTTAAATCAGTCTTACTCCTCAATCTCACTCTAATCTATATCATCTATATCCCGAAGAAACAAGAGGAGGAAACAAATTACCCGATTACCAATTATGTTCGATGAGAAGCAAGAAAATATCCCTGGCTGTTAAAAAACAATATCGATACCGTGGTTCTTGGCGACAATTGGATATCCAAAAGACGTTCAATCAATGGACGCTCGATCGAACAAAAGAGGCTGTTGTCCTTGATTGAAAGGGACGAGAAATTTTCAAAGAGGACGGCTTTGAGACAAATAGCGGTTGATTGGCGAAATCACGGAGGCCTAAATTAAAGCGAAGAAGCATTCAGTGTCCAATTAAAGTTTCATTCGGTCAAGTGGCTATTCGTTCGTTCAATTTCCAATTCCTCTTTTTTTGACTTTTTTTTTTTTAGTTTTTGTTTCTTTGATTAGATTCTTTATTTCTTCTTTGTCTTCTTTTTTTATGGTTTCTTTCTTTATGTTCGTTACTTTGTACAATTTGACAGTATTTATTTATTATTTATATAAGTTTCGAAGAAGAATATATAAATATATCATCGATTATGTTTGAATAAATATTTTGTATGTCAATGTACGTGTTAAAGGATAATATAATTTTCAAAATCGTAGAATTGAAAACATTTTCTTTTCTTTTTTGAATATTTGCATCTCTATTTTTTCATAATTAAAAATTCAAATTTCGAAATTAAATACGTGAAAACAAGAACTTTAGAGTTGTACAAATATTAAAAGTTCTAAAACTGTAGAAAGTGAAAGAGGAAATTTCGAAATTGGAAGTTTAAAAATTGAAAATTCATCGCTCGCGAAATATCGTAATGAAAATATTTCCTTAATCAAAACTTCGCCCACCGAATGAACATTTGTCAATTGAAAATTTACGAGGGGGAACTTATCCAATTGTAACTTCGTAAATTGGGTATTTGAAAATTTCATTTTCCCGCGAAAATCGGTACAAATGAAAAATTCAAATTAAAAATTCCAAATTCCTGATCACATTTTTACATTCGAACGTAAACGTTTAAAAAACAAAGAAAGAAGAGGATAGAGAAAGAAGATAAATATGGCATTCTACGAGTAAGATAACTTGGCATTTCTCGACAGTTTGGAATTTCTTTGCAACGAATTAGAAGCATATGCACAGTTATGAGTGAAGATCAAAGACGATTCCTATTTTTCCATTTCATTTGAAATGAATGATTCTTGAACGATTCGAAAATTGAATAATCATCCAAGATGTTCCGATTTTTTTTAATTCCTTATTTCTGTAAACGAAACATTATATAACTATATATCTGTTAAAGGAAATTAAAACTTTAAATACGTTAGATCGTATCGAGAATTTATTATTGAGAATTTTTGTCGAAAATTATAGGATAGAATTAGAAGCGTGTGCTATTCAAATGAACTAAATCTAGTGTAAATCCATATGCACGCGTTTAAATGTAAAATGTGTATTTTTGTTGTCGAATTTATACAAGTGTAATATAAAACAATACATTATCAAAATTATGTAAATGTAACATAGAAAAATTGCATTGATTGTACGAACCTAATATAAAACATCTTAGAAGTTATATGAATCTAATATAGGATGATGCATCGTTGAAATTATATACATCTAGTATAGAACGTGTATTGTGTTCGATATTCTTATGTAATCGAAAAACCGAATTTTATTTAGAATCAATCAATATCATTTTCGTTTATTTATCAGTATTATAAAATAACAGCGAAAAAAGAATATATATATAAAAGAAAATGACAGAAAACTAACTGTCGGTGTTGATCGGATCTTTCGCTAAAAAAAAAAAAAAAAAAAA